TGCCACCAGTAGTTGCAGCAGCCATAATGGTCACTGATAATTACAGTGCCTGATGGCTTTTAAAACTATTATTGCCTCCCTGGGCATGAGACAACTTCATGTTAACAGTTGATGAATTCTCCTCTAGTTTGGAAAATGACCCACAGCTACACCAAACTGGCTTCACATCCTCAATTGTCAATAACCTGCAGAGAATTGTTCTACCAGATACAGAAATACAGAATCATAGAATCATTAAGTTTGGAAGGGACCTTAAAGATCACCAAGTTCCAACCCCCCTGCCGTAAGCAGAGAACCCTACCACTAGACCAGGTTGCACAAAACCTTGTCCAGCCTGGCCTTAAAAAACTCCAGAGATGGGGCATCAACAACCTCCCTGGGCAACCCATTCCAGTTCCTTATAATGAAGAACCACCCTTATAATGAAGAATTTCTTCCTAATATATAACCTAAATCTCCCCTCTCTCACTTTAAAACCATTACCCCTTGTCCGATCACTAACTTCTCTGGTCAAAAGCCCCTACTCAGCTTTCCTGTAGGCCCCATTTAAGTATTGGAAGGCCACTACAAGGTCTCCTAGGAGTCTTCTCTTGTCTATGCTGAACAGCCCCAATTGTCTTAGCCTGTCTTCATAGCAGAGGTGATCCAGGCCTTTGATCATCTTGGTGGCCCTTCTCTGAAACCTTTCCAACAGGGTCTATATCTTTCTTGTGCTGAAGGCACCAGAATTGTACGCAATACTCCAGGTGGGGTCTGACCAGAGCAGAGTAGACGGACAAAATCACCTCCCTGGTCCTGCTGGCCACACTGCTTTTGATGCAGCCCAGGATTGCAGTTGGCTCTCTAGGCTGCAAGGGCACACTGGCAGCACATCTACTACCACCCCAAGTCCTTTTCCTCAGGACTCTTCAGTAGCCATTCTCCCCCCCAGCCTGTATTTGTGCCTGGGGTTGTGCCGACCCAGCTGCAGGACCTTGCACTTAGCCTTGTTGAACTTCATGAGGTTGGCATTCGATCACCTCTCCAGCCTGTCAAGGTCCCTCTGGATGGCAACCCTTCCCTCTTGGGTGTCAACCACACCACACGTCTTGGTATCATCAGCAAACTTGCTGAGGATACACTCAATCTCACTGTCCATATCTCCAACAAAGATGTTGAACAGCATTGGTCCCAATACTGACACCTGAGGGACACCACTCATCACCTGCCTCCATTTGGACATTGAGCCATTGGCTACAACTCTCTGGGTGTGGCCATCCTGCCAATTTCTTATCCACTGAGTGATCCATCTGTCAAATCCATGCCTTGTCGGTTTGGAGACCAGGATGTCATGTGGAACAGTGTCAAATGCCTTGCACAAATCCAGGTAGATGATGTCAGTTGCTCTGCTACCATCCACCATCTCTCTAGCCTTGTTGTAGAAGGCCACCAGATTGGTCAGGTGTGACCTGCCCTCAGTGAAGCCATGTTGGCTGTCACCAATCACCTCTTTATTTTCCATGTGCCTTAAGAGACTTTCCAGGAGGACCTGCTCCATGATCTGATTACTGTGGTGAGTCATGATTATCCTCTCTGTGAAGTCATAGTTCACAAGTAACCATATACATTTATCTTTAGTCCAGGAAAAAGCACTTCAGAAGAGAGTTTGGAAAAACGTCTTCCCTTACTCTCTCACATAAGGTTCTCTTTTGAAAAAAAGAATCAATGTTTTGTTAGTAATGGAATACACATCATATGAAGCTTGTCTTCTCTCTTGATTGTATTAGTGCAGGAACAAAAATGCAAGGCAGGAAGACCATATCCCATAGAGCTTACCACAGCTTCTTCCTCTGCCATGTCAGCAGTGCAGTTTTTATGTTGTCTATCTCTTCACATATCCACAAGCCCCTCTACTATTATACATTAATTTGATTGCTGCTATGTTTTTACATTAACTTATTTTCCCCTGTTCCTCACAGTTGCTATCCAAATTAGTGTAAATGCCTGCAGAGGTTTACACTAAGATTGTGCTTGGGTACATTTCAGATTTCTTCTCTAACTGAAGTTCTTCAAGACCACATTTTCTATATAATTAATTTCATTTGCTTTCTGCAGCTCACCAGGCTCCTTGCCATACAACCAAACATCCCTTTGAGATCTATATTAATCCTTACTATGTTTTCCTGCACTCTTCGGTAAGTTCTTTCATTTGAAATGGCAGTTGTCCTTCATTAAAGCATTTTTTTACTGCTTAGGAAACTAGTGGGAACCCACCTTTTCTACAAGTATTTTAGTGATAATGAGATCATTATTCTCTCTGATGTTTTTACCTATCAGCATCTCAGTATATCTCATCTTGCTGGCACATTCTTGCTACAGTAGAACCTCAAAGCATACTTTGGTGCTAGATAAATAACTGCAATATTAATACTCTCATCAAGACCAGGCCTACAGAAGTCATGGCAAGTGTTCTGGAAAGAAAGATACACCAGGTATGGAGAAAAACTTAATTTAACTTTGGCTAGAGCTACCTGCAGTTTCAAAAGCGTTTGGTTTAAAAAATTTTTCCTCAACTGTATGATGCTATTGTTCCTGTTTTAAGCTTTCTCTAACTTCTTGTTTTTAAGGTGATGCTTCTGCATTGTGGGGAACACCAGTTACTAAAGAATCAACAAACTTTTGTCTAAAGACTGCAAAACAATCTTCTGTCATGGTTTGTTGGCTCTATGTGTGAGACTATTTCAAGGGCAGGAATATAACCTTTCCAATAAACAATGATGGAAGTTCAAGTAAACTTTAATGAAGTCTAGTTACTTTGCAGCTGTGAGAAAATAGCCAAGATAAACATTTTAAGTAGCAAGTGAAAATAAACTAGCACAACCAGCTTCTTCAAAATCCTTTGTTTACAAATGTACATGTTGGATACATAAGCCAAGAGGCAGACAAGTCCTTTCCTTTGTGACTGATAGCTGTAGTAGCTCTGTGTCAGAGCCTTACTTCATACTGAGACTCTGGCAACCTCTCCAGTACCAATAGCTAAGCTTCTCTCTCCCACTGATGGGCTCTTTCTCTCTCTTTTCGTCTTTACTACTACTTCTATTGCAGCTTCTTCCATTTTGGAAAATATCAGGATTTGCTTTGTGTTCATAAAGGAAAACTTTGAGAGAAATATTGTTACAAATACAGAACACTCATAGGGCAAAATCTCCCCCAGAATCACCATTAACCAAGATGTCAACATCTATATCCTCCTGGATCCAAAAACATGTCAATACTATAGGTACACACCTTGCTCACATGTCAGTGATGGTATTATCACAACAGCACAGATCTCAAGATAAGTAGGTTTTAAACTGCTATATATATCTCATCTTTTCTTTAGTAATCATGTTAATAATAATCGAAGGTCACTTCTAATTTTACCAAATTCTGTACTGAAAGAATGAAAATTCCAATTCAGGAGTAGATCTGTTTTTGGAGTTGTTTGTTTTTTTTTGTTTTTTTGTTAAAGTGAGGTCTTTGCCAGCAGCAATGGCCACTACTCTGTAATACATAGCAAAGACACTGTCCTAAAAAAAGAAAATAAACCCACCATCAACTGCTGTTTTAAAGTCATGATGGAATGTACCACATACCAGTTAAAAAACATTGTATCTATAGTCTAATACTTTGCTAAGCTATTGAAGAAACTTCACCATGGGGCATATGTGAAGTTCCACATACTTTTTGTAACTATGCTGAAGACTATATGATGGGATTTTCTGCTGTGTGTCACTTACACCAAGAGCCAGTGCAGACCCTGCTTTCTCTAGGACACTCCTGACAGCTCATAAAAGGAAAAGGCAGTTGAGCGGGCAGTAACCAAATAATTATAATACTTGGACCAAGCCAAGTATTTATTTGCCCGCAGTACCCCTGCTTTTCTCTAAGAGCTCTATTCATAGATCTGATTTTAGCAAGAACATTTTCATACCATGGAGAGACAATCTTACGATGAAAAGCAATGAGGGTACTTCAGCTATCACAGATTGACTGAGATCTGTTCACTTGGACACACCCATTCACAGTCTGGCAGTGCTGTCACCATTACCGAAGTATCCAATGGTGTTCAAACAAATTAGATAAATGTTTACTATAAACACTGTGAGTAGAAAAATAATGTAGAAGTGTAACTGTTATCCCTAACCACAAAATGCCTTGAGGCAGTTGCTGTCACAGGGAGTGTCTGTTCAATGCATGGTCATTTCCCTCAAAAACTATTGAGCCTCTGCAATGTGAAATTTTGAAAGCATTTTTAAATTTTAGATGTATAATTTTTTTCCTCTATATTAAGGTTTCTTTTTCAAATACAAATATTTGAAGCAGATAACCAAGCTATAGAAAGTTAATTGATAAACAACTGAATTACTTGATTACTTCTATCCTCCTTTGTTCCAAAATCTCATCACTTAATCCTAGAGAAACTTTGGGAAGTCAGAAACAAGCATACTTGGCATAAAAGCTCTCCAAATTTCAGTCACAGATCACTGTAGCTTTGCTTCTGTTCAGCAAAGCTAAAGCAGTATGTATTAGCAGTTATCTCAGCCCATTTTAAACTCATGCAGTTGTTATATGCTGGGTAGGAGGGGTCAACCCCCATCCTTCCCATCCCCCCTCTTTACTTTCTGAAGTGAAACTGGGAAAGCAAACTGAGCATGTAACAGCAGCCACGTTGCTGTATTGAGCTTTACCAGAGCTATTTTAAATTCCCTTATGTACTTCCATTTAAACTTAACTTTAATGACATACAATTATTTTTTTTATAGATCTCAAATTGCCTTTCACAAGCAACACACAAGTTTCTGTGATTGTATAGACCAGTACAGCTGATGGCACAGTTCTGAAGCATCTTTAAGTCTTAAAAATAATAAAACTGTATATAAAAGATAGACAAGAGAAAACTGTTAGTTAACTAGCAGAAGCGCTCTTAGTGTCTGAAGCATAAACTTATTAGCCACCTGAAGTGTTTACACTTTACTTACGTGTTTCTGTTAAACAGACTTTCAGCAAACATAATCCAAAAGTTGCCCATAAAGAGAAGCTTGCCATTGTTTTCTTGGAATTGTTTTGCAAAAACCAGAAATTCTGAGGAAAATGAGGAAAAGCCCCGGCGCTTCTTAAGCCTGCTATCAATGAGCCTGAAGTTTGCTGCACTTTTTATTCTGATTCAAAGGAACTGAAATAATTACATCACTGGGAGGGGGAGCTCTATTGAAAGTCACACCCATACTGTGTGTAACAAAAGTTACTCAGCAGTGGAAG